GAGAGGCTAGAGTCCAGATGTGCTCTCAACCCAGTCTGTCAGGCTGTGGCACATCAAATGAGAACAACTGCCCGTTTCATCCTTAGAAAATTTGGCTGAAGAAACTCCAGGGCAAACGATTAAACCAAGGAAAGAACTAGGTGTGTGTTTGTGTGTGTGTGTGTGTGTGTGTGTGTGTGTGTGTGTGTAGTATGCATGTGTGTGTGCATGCATGTATGTGTGGTGTGTATGTGTTTGTGTATGCATGTGTGTGCACATGTGTGCATGTGTGTATGTGTGTGTAGTGTGTATGTGTTTGTGTATGTGTGTGTGCATGTGTGTATGTGTGTGTGTGCACATGTGTGTGGTGTGTATGTGTTTGTGTGTGTGTGTGTGTGTGTGTGTGTGTGTGTGTGTGTGTGTGTGTGTAGGGCTGTCAGATATAAGTGGTGTCTATGAAGCACACCCAGCACAGGACACTCACTACTCACTAAGCCTCACTGTTCTGTTCCTCTTCCAGCCTTCAAACTGTGCTGGTCCCCATGAAGCTGCTCACCAGAGAAGGAAGAGTGTGACTCTAGGTGCCACACCGCCTAGCTCAGTCACCTTGTCCTAGTTTCTACAGGTCATTTGCTTTGAACAAGTCACTCGGGCTTTGCTGGGATTACCTGCAAAATACAATGCCTGCCTCTCATAGTGGGGAAACAATGAGTCAAGAGCAGCTGCTCTCCCTACTCAAAATGTTAGTCTGTTACTGCTCCTGCTTCTACACAAAGGAACAAGGCTCATGCACGTCCCAGAGACATGCAAAAGGGAACAAAGATGATGAGTTGTATGGATACCATGGGAACACACCAGGTTGAGGAGCCTTTGAGGGAACTACTCCAGTCATTTAGACAGCATTTCCTGTACTGCTTTCTGACTATGAACAGCCTGTCCTTCCTTCCTCTGCATCCAGCTTAGAGCCTCCTGGTGGAGAAGGCTTCATCTTAGTGAATGCTAGCTAAATTCTGAGAGTTCAAGGGGAACTTAAACAACTCAGGGTTCTGAGGTAGGCCAACATAGGGAATGGTCAAGAACTAGGACTCTGCTTGGTTTGGGTCTCTCTCTCTCTCTCTCTCTCTCTCTCTCTATCTCTCTCTTTCTCTCTCTCTACCTACCTATCTTAACTTCATTTATCTATCTCAGTTTTGCAGCTTAGTTCTTTTACCTGCACATACTACAGGCACACACGCACACACACATGCACACAGCTCCAAACAATGCACCTTTCAACTTCAGATCCCCACCTGCAATGATTTTCACATACCATCTCTCAACAATAATAGACATTTCTCTTCCCTTAACAACAATTAAAGTACTATTCAACTATGTTCCCAGTGTGCTGGGGTAGGAAGAATAGAAAGGCCAATAATCTGGCTTGAGCTAGTTTTGGATACATGTGTAGTAAGGCAATTGTGTCCTTCAAGTGAACTTATACCCTATTTATCATCTTACGTATGTGCATAATTGGGCATGCATATGATTAAAATCATATGCATATGGGAAGAAACATGAGCAGTAGGGGAAAAGATGAATGCATGACCTAATCCATCAGTCAAAATAAAGAACCACCCAGGATACACCCCTGAATAACCAGCCCCACTCTCCTTTAAATCCCACAAAAAGAGACTCTAGGCCACATCCTGGGGCCCTTGAGTACTAACACTCCTGTGGCCCCCTGTCAAACTTAACTGTGTATGCCTCAATAATCTGTACAATGGCTTCTCTCCACATAGTATTTTGTTGCTTTGCACCCATGTATCCTTGCACATCTATGTGTGCCAACTTTCAGTTCTTTGGCTGAACCAGAGACAGCTGGCTAAGAGCCCAACCATAGTCCCAGAAGTGTTTGAGGGTAGACACAGTGGGGACACGTGTTCTCAAATGATACCTAGCTACCTAGCTTGCTGGAAAGAGTGTCCTAGTATATTTTTCTCTAATCCCTTCTCAATGCTCAGCCATGGTCAAACATAAGCAAATGCTTCAGGTGTGAGGAAGGAAGGAAGGAAGGAAGGAAGGAAGGAAGGAAGGAAGGCTGGATTGATGGATGGATGGATGGATGGGTGGGTGGGTGGGTGGGTGGGTGGATTGATGGATGGATGGGTGGATGGGTGGGTGGGTGGATTGATGGATGGATGGGTGGATGGGTGGGTGGGTGGGTGGATTGATGGATGGATGGATGGATGGATGGGTGGGTGGGTGGGTGGATTGATGGATGGATGGATGGGTGGGTGGGTGGGTGGATTGATGGATGGATGGGTGGGTGGGTGGGTGGGTGGATTGATGGATGGATGGATGGGTGGGTGGGTGGGTGGATTGATGGATGGATGGATGGGTGGGTGGATTGATGGATGGATGGGTGGGTGGGTGGGTGGATTGATGGATGGATGGGTGGGTGGGTGGGTGGGTTGATGGATGGATGGATGGGTGAGTGGGTGGGTGGATTGATGGATGGATGGATGGGTGGGTGGATTGATGGATGGATGGATGGATTGATGGATGGATGGGTGGGTGGGTGGGTGGATTGATGGATGGATGGATGGATGGATGGGTGGGTGGGTGGGTGGATTGATGGATGGATGGATGGGTGGGTGGATTGATGGATGGATGGGTGGGTGGGTGGGTGGGTGGATTGATGGATGGATGGGTGGGTGGGTGGGTGGGTTGATGGATGGATGGATGGGTGAGTGGGTGGGTGGATTGATGGATGGATGGATGGGTGGGTGGATTGATGGATGGATGGATGGATTGATGGATGGATGGGTGGGTGAGTGGGTGGATTGATGGATGGATGGATGGATGGGTGGGTGGGTGGATTGATGGATGGATGGATGGATTGATGGATGGATGGGTGGGTGGGTGGGTGGATTGATGGATGGATGGATGGATGGGTGGGTGGGTGGGTGGATTGATGGATGGATGGATGGGTGGGTGGATTGATGGATGGATGGGTGGGTGGGTGGATTGATGGATGGGTGGGTGGGTGGGTGTCATGAGAGAGAAGATGTCCCAGGGTGCACCTCTTCTTACTTCTTTCCTGACCTGCTGTATGATCCTTTCCCACAGCTGGCTAGCTCAGCAGTCTCTGAGCCTCCAGGTTCCCCATACACCAGTGAGCAGGAGCGCTGAGGCTGGAACAGTTGCCGGAGGACGGTACATGTTGACCTTGCTATGTGGCCATGACTTCCTGAACTGGCGTGTAATGTTTGCTTTCCCCTCACTCCTCTGTCCACGGCAGCTGTGCATACATCAGACTCACACTCGATGTGTGTAAGTAAACCTTACCTTCCTTCCTCTGGCCTGAGGCCTGGGTCCCAGAGCTCCGAGTTTTTCTTCCCCCTTGGGGATGTGGTTCTCTACATGATCAGAGACAACTGCAGGGTCAGCTCCAAGAATAGGGCAGCCTTGAAGGACTGCATATCATAGAGCCTAGAAGGTTAATATTCAGAGGTTCTTATTACAGAGGGACACCTTTTCTGAATGGGGGCAGCAAAAGATAAAGCTTTGCTGCTGGAGATACAGGCTTGTGGTGGTATGTTATTTATAATTTATTAAAGCTTGCCTGAGAGTACAGAAAGCAAAGCTTGCCACAAGCCATAGAGCCAGGCAATGGTGATACACACCTTTAATCCCAGCAGACATACTAGCTAGCTATAGAGCCAGGCAGTGGTGGCACACACTTTTAATCCCAGGACTCAAGAGGCAAGCAGATGGATCTCTGTTAGTTCAAGGCCACCCTGAGCTACATGAAATTGATCCAGTCCTAAAGAGACACAGCTCACACGAAAGTGATCTCAGCACTTGGGATCACTCGCCTTTAATCCCAGCACGAGGGAGGTATGAAAGGAAAAGGGTGTCATGTGAAACAATTAGTCTCTAGCCACACTGGGGAGAGCACAGCAGTCTGAGTGAATCTGAGGAGCCGTGATGTCGGGAGCAGTCTGAGGATCGCCCCCTTTGGTCTGAGGTAGAGTTAGAGCTAGTGGCTGGCTGCTTTGCTTTTCTGAGCTTCACCTCAAGCTTGAACCCCAATTTCTGTCTCTGGGACTTTTAGTTTTCATGTTACACAGGCTGTGTTAGAACCCTGGCTCTGTTGCTAGCCGGCCAGCCATGGACCCTGAGGAGGCCACCTGGCCTACCTGGGCCCAAGGTTTTGCAGGGCTCTAAGGGACTACATGACATGTTGCTCAGAGCCTGCTCAATGACTCAAAGGACAAGAACTGAGTAGACCAGTGGGTGGGGCTTCAAAGAATCAGAATGAGAACTCAAGAAGGTAGCACCCTGACGTAGGCCATGGGGTGGATAAGAGCAGGAAACTGCCCGAATGGAAGGAACAGGGGGCATCTGGGGAACGCTGGAGAAGGGCTTTCTTGGGTGGCGGGAGAATGCCAGAGCGTGGTGCTGCACCAACAAGGGAGAATAAATCTACCAGCCCCACTTCCCCTCCAAACTCAAGAATAAGCCAGCGGGTGCAGAAGGCCTCAGACTCCAAGGGACAAGCAGGGCAGAGAAAGGCAAAGGCACACAGCTGGGCAGCAGCTGGCACAGGGGTTCCAGGCGAGTGAGTGGAAAGCTGAGCTTCACTTAAACACATACCGAGAACATTCTCTCAGAGTTCAACTCCAAAGCCCACAGGGAGCAGGCAACTTGGGTTTACTACAGTCTACAGTTTGGTTGAATAGCTGTCGACTTCCCCCTTCTCTGTTCTCGAAGCAGGTCCTGGCATAGTTGGTGGGCAGGTGTTCTGACCTCTGTTCACACCTGGGGTCTCCACTGGGAGGGGCAGAAGTTGACCGAGTCACCCTCTGGCCTGCCAGATTCTCGAGCCTGACTGTGGCCAAGATCTTGCCAGTCTCTTAGAATTCCCAGACCATCCCCGTCCAAAGCCAACCTAAGGCCCCCAAAGGAATCTCTGGAGCTTTGTGTCTTGTTGGGCCACAGGGTCAGACTGAGTGGATCTACTGCTTTCTTTATCTAGGATGGCACACTCCATTCTGTCCTTCTGGCTGCTGGTAGCTGGGCTGGTTCCCCATACTGGTGGCAAACCGACACCACCAACATCATTGACTCAAAGCATACCACGGACACCAGGGATTCAAAGGCAACCACCCCTCATCTTCAACAACCAAAAATTTGCCTTGAGCCTATATAGACAGCTGCCGGTGATCAATGAGAACAAAAACGCAATCCTTTCTCCGCTCAGTATCACTGTGCCTCTCACGCTGTTGGCCTTCCAGGATAAGCCGGAAGCCTGCCACCTGGTCCTGAAGAATCTGGGCTTCAGAGTCACCAAAGACCTGGACACTAATGCACCCATGAGATACGGGAACCAGCTGGGTGCCCTGCTGCAAGATGAGCAGTGTGGAATCCACACTGGCAGTTTGCTGTTTATGGACAAGAAGCTAAAGCCAGAAAGGAAGTTTCTCGCACAAGCCCAGAGCGCCTACAACAGTGACATCATCCTCATCTCCTTAGGGGACTACGAGTTAGCCCACAAGCAGATAAACTCGGCCATGCGTGACAGGACCCACGGGAAAATTAAGAGGCTGCTGAGGGATGTGAAGCCTCTACCTAACTTGGTTCTGGCCAATTACATCTTCTTTAAAGGTCGGTGAGCCTTGAATGGAGCTGTGGTAGCCCCTTGCTGACTCGAGAGTTCCTCCATTCCTCTAGATCTTTCTGGATGTTCTCCGCTCCTGTGGCTTGGGGCAGTGTCTGCTCTTGCCCACCTCTGTTGCCTACCTCTAGACACCTCCCTCTTGAGTCTTCTCCCTAATCCTCTGTGTGTGTGTGTCTGTCTGTCTATCTCTGTGTGCATGTGTGTGTCTGTGTATGTTTCTTTCTGTCTCTGTGTGTGTCTCTGTCTGTCTCTGTCTCTCTGTGTATGTCTCCCTCTGTGTCTATCTCTTTCTGAGTGTCTCTGTCTCTCTTTGTCTCTCTCTCTGTGTCTCTTCTGTCTCTCTGTGTGTGTCTCTCTCTGTGTCTCTACCTCTCTCCCTCTCCCTCTCTGTTCTCCTCTGTATCATCTAGTCCATTGGGTCATTAGGAAGGTCTTGAGCAATACTTCACTTAGGTTCCAGGGAGGTCAGAATCATTTAGCTCTATTCTAGTTATTGGAAAGTTAGCCATTTTTACCCCAGACAAATGCTGCCTCTCCTTTGCCTGGACTCCTTGCCTTGGCCTCTCCTATATTTACTTCTTATCCTGCTCCTTTCTTCTATCCCTGACCCCTCCCTTCTGGAGACTGAAGCTCCCTTTACAGATATAGCCTGCTGTTCCCTCCTCCTTGCTAAGTTTCCGGACAAGGCATCTCAATCCAGGACCAGCTACATTAATTACTCTTAGGACTCAGTGACAAATGAGAAAAGGGGCCCTTTGTTCTAAAATCACACTCTAGCGATGCCAGCAGAGCATTAAGACACCAACAGGGCCCTGCGTGACTGCCTAGCCCACACCTCTGGGAGCCCAGTGGTGCTATGCCAATGTGCCTTCCATTATACCTCACACAAGTGTTAGCTCCAGGAGGGTTATATGCCTTGTCTCAAACTGTTTCATCAAGGTGACAGGACCAAGGATACCTTGTCCTTCCGCACCTGCCTGGCCTGGCCTTGCTGGCCATGCAGCTGGACACTTCTCCTAGTTCAGCCCAACCTTGGTGCAATTCTCTTTCCTGGGAACTCACCACAATGCTGGCACATCATGGGTTCCTTCTCTGATTTGTCTATTCTAGGGTCTTCCCTCCAGTGAGCTGGGCCATGTAAGCGGTCTCCAACCTTCCTGTGCACTGAAGGCCCCCAACTCCATGTCAGATCCCCATGCCTGCCAGCCACCTGATCACCTCCTTCCCAGTGGAGCAGCCTGAGCTTGGCATGTTCCAAACGGAAGCTTTCCTCCATCCAGGGAGTTCCCTTCTCATGACCCTCTCCTTCAAGGCTCAGCAAATTGCCTTGACTCCAGCCCAAGCCAGGCCTGTGATAGTCTCTCACCCTGGGTATCTTTTCTCCCCACACCACGTGCTAAATCGGACCACTGCCTCAACCACGGCCACTACTCTTGTTCAGCTTGCCAAGTTACATTAACTCTTACCAAAGTTAGTATGACTGTGCCTTCCTTTCTCCTCTTTATTTCTTTGGGGAAGTGGTGGGCGGCAACTTGTAAACCTATTGCCTCGGCCTCCTACATCCTGGGACTTCAAATGTGTGTCCCTGCATCCAGCAGCAATTGCTTCTGAATGAGTCCTCTCTTCAACTTGTCTCCCCAGGACCCTTGAATGATCCATTCCCCCCCCACCTCTCTCCCATTCCCTACTCTTCCTCTCCCCCAAAGCACCACAGGCTACTAGGAACATTAGCCCTACCTGAGCCACATGACCCCAGCTAGTCTGCCTGATGCCACCTGTCACGTGACAGGCTTTGCTCTTTCTTCCTCTCTTCTTCCATAGTGATAGGCACGCCTTCAGGGCTCATCTCCAGCTTCCAGAAAGTCTTCCCTGACGAGCTCCCAGGGAGAGATTGTCAGCTTTAGGAGGAAAGCAAGGGACCACAAAATGTCACATATATTTTACAATTGTTATCCTTCCAACATTCAGATGTAATCGGGCGTCCTATCCTTTATCTGGGCACCTTTCCTATTACTATTCGAAGGAGGTGGCTACGGAGAAAATCAAGCTTTTGTTTGGTACATGGAGTTTGAACTGCTTCTTGGGAGTGTGGATGTCAGTAGCCAGGTGGCTAGCCAGAATGGAGCCTGGCACTTTGAGAGGTGTAGGCTTGGGGATTAAGGACTTAGGACCCCAGAAAGTGGACCATTTTGAGCTGCTGAAGGGAAAAACTTGCTTCCGAGTTCCCTCCTCCTTTCTCTTTGTAACTCTCACAACTTTCTGATTATCTTTCCCAAGGCTGTGGACTGCTTTATCTCAAAGGGTGGGTTCTTCTGTACAACATGTTTGCCATATCCGGTCAGGGTTAGACAAGAAAGTCCGTTTCCTGGTCCTCCCCAGTGTCCCTGGCCCCAGTTGGAGCTCCCAGTTCAATATGTCCACAACACTGTCAGGCTCAGCCTGGCTCTGAAGAGCTGATGCCCAAGCCCTGGCCAGAGCCTCAGTTGTTTATATTCCCTTTCTTCAGAAGATCTGTGTGGACAAGGGTCTCTCACATGTGCCTGTGTGGCTTGCCACAAGGAACATTCCTGGCGTGGATCGGCCTTAGGGCCTCCCTGATGGATAAAGTGTTATGTGCCCTGGATGTTGCTGGCCCCTCTGATTCCTGTGCACTCTCTTGCCAGGGAAATGGAAATATCGCTTCAACCCAAAGCTCACGGAAATGAAGTACTTCACGATGCGTGAGGGGGCCCGGATCATGGTACCCATGATGCAGCGGGTAGGCTGGTTCCGTTTTCAGTATCTCTCCCACCTGCACAGCTATGTCCTCCAGATGCCCTACACCTGCAACATCTCAGGAGTCTTCATTCTTCCAGAGGAGAGGAGATTTGAGGATTGTGAGAAGGCACTGTTGCAGGAGAGTTTTGACACATGGGTTAAGCCCTTACCACTGAGGTGAGAAACCAACTATTCCCACCTTTCCCCCAGTGCTACAAGACCTTATCCAAGGCCACCTTGGCTCTGGGTGAGAGGTGGAGACCCTTCTAGTCTTTGGGATGTAGGATCTGGGACTTGGTCACACACTTATAATCAGACAGGATTCAGCCATTCACACCTCCCAAAGATGGGGAAAACACACAAAACACAACCACCAGCAGTATCACTATCATCACCATCTTCATCACCATCATCACCAATACCAGCATCACCATCATCATCACCACCATCACCACTATCATTATCACCATCACCACCATCACAACTGGGAGACTCATTCATGGTTTACCAATGCTTTGTCCATCCATGAAGGCATCTGGAACTATGATGCAATTCCATTGGGCCAATACCTGAGAGCCAAAGGGGAGAGAGATAGACTCATATCCTTGGGTTTCAAGCATCTCAGAAATGATGCTATGTGTATTTAAGGTGAACAACATGATGTGCATAGGCATAGTGAAACACCAACCATACTCAGCTGCTGAGCAGTAATGGCTCAACACAGGTCCCATTTTGCATGTGTGGCACAAACACAGTATTTTCTTGTTGCTTATGTTAGGGAGAATAAAGAGAGAAACAAACGTTTAAACAAATCAGGCACTGCAAAGGACAGTGTGTACCCAGCAGCCATATGAAGGCAGTGTGTGACAGACCCAGTGGTGGCCACATGCCAAAAGAAAATCGTTGGTGTTGTTCTGAGACACAAACAAGAAAATGTGTCACTCAGTCTGCCCTAGGACCTTTGAAGTCCAAGACGGGAGGAACGGAAGCTTGGCTAATTTGAAGCACAGACAAATAGAAACTTTTTTTTCCAACTGGACCAGGGCAGTCACGGCCTCTCTGAGAAGTGATACTATAGCTCAAGGACCCTCAGCTTTTAGAAACAGCGTGGCTTTGTGTCCTCCACAGTTAACAGAGAGAACTCAGGAGGTGAAGAGTGAAAGGCAAGTCAGCCAGCACCACCCCAGCAGGTGCTGGGTGGAAACTTCCAGAGTTTGACCTCACTGATTATTTTTCTCCTACATTTAAACACAGTAAAATTTCAGGGAAAGGTTTCCATGTGACAGTTATCACAACAAAGCTTTAGGCATAGCTCCATAGAAACTCCTTAGGAAAGTAGCAAACCGCCTCTGACTTTACAATAAGAATGACTTCTATTGGCTCATAGCCAGGGCTCAGGGCAAGGGTCTAAGGAGGAAGCCATAAGGATGGAGTCTATTGACAGAGGATGCAAAGTACATGGTACCCCTTTCATAAGGATGGGTTCTACTGACCGAAAGCTCAGAATTAGAGACTAAACACTGCCCAGGATTTGGGAGGGTTTGGGAAGGCTGGCCCATAGAATAGCACAAAGACCACCAGATTGTTACACCACATCTACTGGAGCCTTCCAGGCAACCAGGTACACATCATTTTCTTCAGTCGGAGAAAATAGGCCAGTGTGGTCAACAATGCTCAATTTAAGCTGTCCCTCCTGCAGCTTTGGACAAACCCATAGCCTCTTTGATCCCCATCTCATTTTCTGAGCAAGCCCTCTGCCAAGACGATGGGAGGAAGTTGCCTTCAAGAGTGCCTGGTGCAGCCTGCCTGTTGCAGACATGCAGCACTGAGCTGCTCTTGTGTTTTCCGGGAGTCAGGAGGTGGGGGGAGGTGTTGTTAGGCAACAAGATTTCAACTGTGTTTTCTTCTCCCATCTCCCTGAGCAGCAGGGGGCAGCTGTTTTTCCCCAAATTCTCCATTCTTGCTGCTCTTCATCTGGAGAACTTCAAGTATGCTACCAGCAACCTTAATCTGTTCTATGAACACATGGATCTCTCGGGAATCACCATGCCAAAGGCACCCCTGAGGGTCACCACGGTAGGTTAACACCCTGTGGTCACCGTCTTAGCGGTTCATATGGTTCCATTTTCAGACTCAATCAGGGAGCACCAATGAGCACCCACGGTATTCTGTGAACTCACTGCAGCGGTGTTCTGGGCCTGGCTGTCCCTCAGAGATGGCTGGTCTGGGGAAACAGCCAGGAGCTCTAATGCTGTGTCTGTGCACCAGAGAGTCCTCGTGCCTCTGTGATTACAAGCGTGGTAGCATACACAAATGGCTTCTGTTCATCCTGAGTCATCCCTGCCACCACACTGCAGAGGTTAGGAAGTTGGGTTAAGCAGAATGGGGAGGGGGTACAGCCAGACCACACAAGGGGGCTTTTCCTGGAAATCAGGCTGTGCTAAGTTACTGGCTGGCAAAGTTGCAGGGAAGGCCCACGGAGCAGATGCTGGACCAAGCGGCTAAATGGTCTGGCCTTTGGGTCACATTCAGGTAGCATGGAGAATGAGGCCCATTGGGGACTTCAGCAGGAAGGGATGGGATGGAATCTGAGCCAGCAGCAGGAGAGTGCCCCTGACCCCCAGAAGCCAGTAAAGTCACAGCAAGGCAGGCTTCAGAGAAGTTCAGGGTTAGAAAAAGAACCTGGAGAAAATTCGTTTCAGGGTGAAAATCCCAGGACTCAGTGGCCTGAGGTGGACAGATAACAATAAAGCCATCCTTCTGGGAGGCAGGGCGGTGAACACGGCACAGGCACAGGGTTGCAAACAGTTGAGGTGACAAGCACGCTGCTCCTAGAAAGCCAGGTTGCCCCTGGGCCAGGAGCAGAGTGAGGAACACAGCCACAGTGTGAAGCCAGAGGTGGGTGGTAGAGTAGACTGAGTGGAGAACAAGCCACAGTGTTCTTGAACTCTGGGAGAAACTCCGGGAGATGCAGAAATGAGCCTCCATTCTGCAATATCATGCACCTCCCTTCAGCAGGACAGGGCTGGGTCTGAATTCTGGGCATCCTGGGCCCAGTGCAGTGTGACACTTGCTGAGGGTGGTGTTGGCACAACTCCTGCTCCCTCAACACTGTGAACCTTGGTCTCCAAAGGCAGTACACAGGGTGGAGCTGACCATGGATGAGGATGGAGCAGAAGAGGAAAACATCTCCGACTTCCAGAGCATCCCCAAGCCACTCCTCCACACCCTCCACTTCAATAGGCCCTTCATAGTATTAATTTTGGAGGAGGCCAGCCACAACCTTCTCTTCATGGGGAAAGTGATGAATCCTACTAGCATCAGATCGGTTCCCAAGGATGAGTCGAGAACCTAGAAACTAGAAAACTGGCCACAGCTTAGGAGAGTGACTGGCCTATGATGCCCACAGGAAGGCTGGAGTTAGGCAGTGAGTCTGACCTTCCTGTGCTCATGATTGTATCTGGGATGGTGGTTTACTAATCTGTGGGGTGAGAGCAGCTACTCAAAGGGGCCTCATGCAAAGACAGGAAGACAGATACATAGACTGAGCATCAGTGTGGGGGAGCTCCAGATCTGATGTCCTTTAAGGACCACAAAGAAGGTCCCCATGGAAGGTGGGGCTGGAGGCTCTAAATTCTTATTTTCTCAGACCCTCACTGGATTATAGTAGAATTCTATTCCTTTGGAGATTGGTTCAATAAAACAGCAAATGGAAATGTTGTGAGTGGTGTTTTTGCTCAAAGGGGCAGGGAGGGACATGGAGACCCTGCTAAGAGCAACCTGGGAGCATGCTTGTGAGACAGAACTGTCAGGGTCACCCTTTCATTGCCGCTTGCTGGAATCCAGATGATGCAGTGGTTCACAGGGATGTCAGTAAGCCTCCGTCTCCTTGGCAAGTGGCTGAGAAGGAAAGCATACAGGGGATATCTCCAGGTCTCTTTGATGAAGGAAGCTACTGGAATTTAAGTTGGGTTGAAGGCCATCCTCATGCAGCAGTCAGCTCTGCTCCTGCAAAGACAATTAACTCCCCAAGCTCTTTCCAAAAGGGAACCATCCTCCATGAGGAAGATGTTTTCACACAAGTCATTAGAGTCGGCACCCATTGGGCACCAACTGTGTATAAGACACCATCATAGAACTGATGGAGGACTGCCTCCAACTTCAAGAGCCCATTCCACAGACACAGGACATGTCACCATTATGCAGCCACCACGGATGAACAGGCATGGCTTAACACTGTAACATATCACCTTGAACTACAAACAGGATTCGTGTTCTAACCGGCAGTTGTGTGAGATGGAGTTTTGAGAGGTGAGAAGCCCAGGGCTGACAGTTTAGCTCACTGTGAGAGGGAAAAGAGGTAGCTTTGCTGCCAGTGGATGGCAGTGAGCAACAGAGCAAACAGTTCCAGAATCCCTACCACAGTGATTCTCCAGGATACACCACACCGGAACCAAGATGGCGCCCGGGATGGGAACAGCTCACTGAGTTACCTAATGAGCTCTAAAGTGTCTCCCAGGTTGTCTGAGTCTATTTTTCTTTGCTAGAAATTGACTTTGTTATGTATCCCCCAAAGTCTCTCTCTCTCTCTCTCTCTTTCTCTCTCTCTCTCTTTCTCTCTCTATCCCTCTCTCTCTCTCTCTCTTCCTGTCTTCCTGTGGGGGGGGCAACGGAGTGAGGGTGCGAGGGAGGAAGTAAGGGGAGATTCTATCTCACTGTGTAGTCTGGCTGGCCTTGAACTTACAGAGATCTACTTGCCTCTGTCTCTTTAGTGTTGGGATTTAAAAACATGCTACAATGTCTAGATCTCAATTTCAGTTTATTCACAAGAAAAATGGGGAATTGAGGATATCCTAATGTCAACATCTGGTCTCCACACATGGCCCAGCATATATGTGTGCACACATGACATAATACACACACACACACACCACAGTTTTTTTAAAGCAAAAAGTTATGATTTGGATGTGGCTTGCTTGATGCCTGCAGTTTGGGGTTTTGGTATTGAGATGATGGGATCACTAACAGATGAGACCTGATGGGAAGTTCTTAGTTGATTGATGTTGTGCTCTCAGAAGGCTTTCGTGTAGGTCTTGAGGGCCTCACTTGGTCCCCAGTTGCTTTCTGGCTGCTTATCTTACCTTGTGACCCCTGTGTGCTCTGACCATACTGAAGTTCTCACTAGAGCCAAGATAATGACAGTGAAATGCCCTAAAGCAACAGTTCTCAACCTGTGGGTTGTGACTCCTTTGGCAACCCTCTGTCTCCAAAAATATTTACATTACAATTCATAACATCATGAGGTATCAATGAAAGAAATGTATGGTTGGGAGTCCCCACAGCATGAGGAACTGTGTTAAAGGGCCACAGCATTAGAAAGATTGAAAACCACTGCCTACAACTGTGAGATGAATGGACTTCCTTTTTAAAGTTTCTCAGCTGCTAGTATTACAGTAATGGAAAACAAACAAATGCACCAAGCCTCAGAGGATTCAAACAAGTTGCTCAAGGTCATGGAGCTAGGTCATGACAGATTCTGACTATTTTCCCTCAAGAGAGATGATGGCTCCTGCAGGGCTTGCCTCCCTTACCTTGTGTTTCTGGAACTTTCTCATTGGACACATCTGGACCAATGACAGACATTCACATAATCACTCTAGCCCCACTCAACATCCTGTTTTAGACTCTGGAAGCAGATATGTTACATGAAGTTCCAAGGGTTCAAACCTGGAATGCCATGACCTCTGCCCCAGTGTGAGACATAGCAAGAGAGAGCCGAACAAAGACAGGACAGTAGAGTTTTGTAGGAGGAGCATGGGCTTTGGCTAGGGTCTGTGCTTTCAAATCCATTTCATTGTCAATTTACTTGGCACAAGTGACTTAATGAATTCGTCTGATATCTCTGCCAATTTCCCCCAAATGCTAATGGGAGTAGCAACACTCACTGGCATCCACGGTAAGTAAAGTTACAGTAGGTCAAGACTATTCCATGCTCTTCCAATGTATCACCTCATCTAACTTTTATGACATTCCAGGGTGACTCTAGGAACTGGAGTAACCCTAGGACCCCCTGAAGAGTATGTGTCAAAGTGAGAAATCTGAACTTGAATGCAAACTCTAACTATTGCTGCGTTACCCTGGAATGAGAACACATCTACTCCATAGGGTTCTTGAGAGGATACGTCAGTTAACACACATTCAGCAGCAGAGCTGGGAGCTTGCGAGAGGTGCCAGGCAACGCATGCGACTCAGACAGCTACGTGTTGCTAGACCAACAGAGTAGAACTGAACTTGAGGTAGGAAGGGAGGAAGAAAACAAAGATCTCACAGATACAGACCCTTCTCATTAGGAAAGGTGTGGAAGCTAAAGCAAACAAGATGGCTGCCCCGTGAAAGTGAGGGCCAATGGGAGCTTGAGGGATGCTTGATTCAGTGTCTGCCTGAAGACCAAGAGTAAGGACAGGTGGACCCGGTGGCTATGACAAACAGGAAAGGACATAGTTGGATCTCATGGGACATCTCTCCCAGGTTCAGCATTTTCAGTTCAGGGTGAAAACTCCCTGAAGGGCAACGGGCCTATCTATGTCACCCACACACGGCCCAAGGGCACTGGTTGACATCTGTATTTTTCAACACAGCTCATGACCCTTGAGTAAATAGCCAGGGTTGGGAAGGCCAGCCAAATACCTTCTCTGGAAAATCTACTCACCGTAGTCTTTGGCTTGGTTCAACCTTACCCATGCCAGGCAAGGCCTGGGCCCAGGTTTTCTGGCCATGAGATTCCAAAGAGCACTGCCTTTGTATGACTTTTCCTATGGACACATGAAGGACAGACCCAAGGAAAGATTCCCCCTGAGTCTCACTTAATGAGCCAGGGAGTTTACTGGGCCAACTTACAAGAGCACAGATGCCTCAAAACACCTGCATCAACGAAGAGCCCATCCTAGCATGCCCAAGGAATCAGAAGAACAGAATCCCCGGAGCTCTTGTCATGGCTGGCAGGCTGCCCAGCCTGTGGAAGAGTCTCTTTTTCCCAGTAATTGCTAGTGCTTATGTAAGCTGGAGGAGGGGGCTTGTGTGTCTTGTCAGTTCCAGGAGTTTCCTAGGCCTGGTGAGTTCTCTACTTCCTGGTGTACGTGTCTCTCCAGGTGGATGTCCTTATCATCATCCACATGGTACTGGCTTTACAGATATGAACACTACAAGCGTTACAGGTTCACAGAGGCCAGGGAGTCAGACTGCAGACTGCACGCAGTGGGATCAAATTCCCCAAGAGAGCCTCTGAGGAGGATAATGTTTTAAACTATGAGTGTGACATTTGAGCAACACGCAGGGATGTTGAAGATGAGATGGCAGGGATGCGGGATGTCTGCCAAGGAAAGCCATAGGAAACGAGTGACATCTGCCTGGCAGGCAGGCTATTCGGGCTACAGACAATAAAGCTGCAGAAGCCAGGTTGCTCAGGTTGACTGGGGTCACACCATGGTATCACAGGCCCTAGAAATCAAATGTGATGTCACAGGATTTGTTTTGTTTCTCGCTTTGATCTCATCCTTCCTTGTGGCTTACCCATCTCCCCTTTGGATGGAATCATCTGTCATGCATTGGATTTTGGAAGCACTTAAGCTTCTTTAATGCTTACTGGAGTGCACAGCCAAGAGTCCCCTGAGTCTCAGTGGAGACTTTGTATGTAGGCTTTGGGGCAGAGTCAGAACTGGGAAGGCTCTCCCAGCTCTGCAGCATGAGCCTAGTGTGTTTTGTGTTATGAGACGGACACCGCTTCACCCTTCAACTGGACCAGGAGATACAGGGATACAGGTGTGCCGTGGTGTGTCTGTGAGAATGTTCACACATGTTCATCGAGGAAGGAAGACCCACCCCGATGGGACTGACACCAGACAGAACAAACACAGGAGAGTACCACCCTCCTGTCCTGCCTCCCGGCCCGCTGTGATGTGAACAGAGGGGTTTCACAAGCCTCTTCCGCCCTGAAACCAGGAGTTCAGGGTCAACCTTTATTCTTGAAGATGGTTATGTCATGTACTTGGTCACAGTGATGGATGAAGCTGAGGCTTTATCTCAAGAAAATAGGGGGGGGGGAGACAAAAGATTAACACCCAGAGACTTTTTTTAAAAATTGGTTTCTAAAAATGTATGTCAATTGCAGGTTGGTTTTTTATTTGTTTGAGGTTTTTTGTTTTTTTTTAAGTTTCACATATGAGTGCAATGCATTTGGGTTACAACTACCCCTCTCTCCTCCTCTTTAAGAAAATAGTAACTTCCTTAAAGCTAAAAGCTGACTCTTCTAAAGATTAGTTAGCCATATTTCTCTAATAAAACTTACCAAAGGCATAGGAGATAATTCAGTCAGTGAAGTGTTTGTCTTGCAAGCTTGAGGACCTGAGTTGGATCCCCAGAGCCTACATTTAAAAAATCCAGGCATAATGGCATTTTCTTGCTAAGGAATAGGAAACAGGCTGATGTCTGAGGCTTGCTTGCCAGGCAGTCTACTTGGAGAGTTCCAAGCCTATGATAAATTCTGCCTAAAAAACTGTTGAATTTAGCCCACAGAACATTACATGCACACCCAGATTTGTGTATGAAACACACACACACACACACACACACACACACACACACACACACACACACGGAATACTGTTATTAAATAATAATTAAAACACCAACGAAGGGCTTTGTGAATAACTTGTTGGTTCTTTTTGTGTTTTGGGCAGGATTTCTCTGTGTAGTCCTAACTGTCTTGGAACTTCCTATGCAGACCTGTCTAGCCTGGAACTCACAGAGGTCCACCCAACTCTGCCTCCCTGGTGCTTGGATTAAAGGAGTGCACCACTATACCCAGCTAACTGTGAATAACATTTAATCTACAGATACTGATGAGATAAATTATTGGCTACAAAGGCCAAAATTGGCTTGCCAAATAGAAAACTCGAAAAGAATAATAATTGACAAAACTGTAACACTCCAAACTTCCAGGCATGATCTCTGACCTCCTTTCTTTCCCAGCTTCCCTCATCTGTGGATGAATTAATGGTGCTGCCAACCAAACACAGGGATTGGGACTCAAGGCTCAGGATGGGCTTTCACAGAGGTACATCCCCTTGGACACTGTGGTGAGTCCAGGGGCAGATGGATAGTCCTATCCACATTCCTCTGAGGGACTGAAAGGAAAGGCAAAATAATGATCTTTATTTTCCTTTGCTGTTGGCCAGTGAGATCCACATAACCTGGGATTTCAGAAGACTCTTAGTCCCCAGCAGCACTGAATAGAATTGGGGGTCGTATGGAAGGGGACAAGCAGGACAAGGAGAAAGGTCTAGTGACGGACCGCAGACCCTGAAGCCCTTTCCACTCTTTGGAAGTCCCATTCACGAAGGAAAACGAAACAAAAACCCCGATGTTCCCTTTTGCTTTGTGGTTTTCTGATGTGTGCCTCCTGCAACAATCTGGGCAGCAAACACACAGGAGGAGGAAGGGCGCTAGACGTGGGGATGGCAATGATCTCAGGGCAGCTCACTTCATCTCCAGCACCTCTCAGTTCCTGCATATAAAGAGGAGATGCTGGTGAGGATGCAGCCCAGTGGTGGGACCCTTGACCAGCATGCATCAGGCCTCGGGTTCAATCCCCAGTAGCTACAGAGAAGTCCAGTTAAAACAAAAAGGACTAGGTCAAGTCAGCCTCATAAAGATGGTAGCAGTCTGTTAACAAACCACCCATCAAACCACCAGGAGGCTTGAGATCACCCACAGGAAGAGTCACACAGTCATTCATGCACATCTGTTTCTCCCACCCTTGGTGGCTTTTCCCCCTCCGGGTGCCAAGTACCTGGCTCTTCACGGAGTCCATGCCATGGTGCTTATTAATGACACCAGTCAATCCCCTGACAGCTGGCATGGATCAACCACAAACAATGATGCAACCCCAGGCGCATTTTGATATTAAAAGTAAAACTTCAGGGATCAGATGCAGTGGAAAGTTAATCTGCAGCGTTGCTGTGTTTACCCTCACTACCTATAAAGCCTCCCATTGGCTGGTGTTTGGGGGGTGGGGACCACCAAATGGTGAAGGCCACTGTCCCCCTCCTCTAACCATTAACTAGCGGAGACACTGACAAACAAGATTTAGTGGGCAGCCTCCCTGAAGCCTTACTGTAAATGTGCTGGGATCCCAGGCAGCAGAGAGGAGCCAGCAGGAGCGACCCGAGCCCACTGCAGATGTGAGTTACCCCTGAGAACACTCTATTTCTTCTGCTCTTGCCAGCCTTTCCCCCCCCCCCCCCCGAATCTTCCGCCCTCCAGAACACAGCCATGCCTGCAGCTTGCTTGTTCGAGATTTTTAGTAGACAAAAAACAAGGGCAGCCTACTGTGGCATGAGGCAAACATCTGGAAGACTCCCCAGAACCTGGAGTCTGGGGGTTAGCCCTGAGTGTTGATATTTCTTATGGGTGTCTTCATTGCAGGAGGCTAACACTGAGCGCTGTGGCTGAGTTTCATTGACACCAGTTGGGGCCTGGTGGAACAGCATGAGGAGTCAGAAATGGGAGGGAATCTCAGAGCTGAGATGGATTAGGTGCCAGGCTGCACTATGGGGGGTGTGTGCACAGCTGGCACATGCAGGGACACTCCAAAGCATGTCCACACACCTCTCCTCCATAGCTCCTCACTTGGTAACCTGGGGTAGAGACGATGCGGGGAAGAGGCAAAGCTGTGTTAACTATACATCGTATCACAGGCTGTGATGCCTACCTAAATCCCCACCTGATCCAAGTGGCTTCAGAGAGGAGTGGCCTTTTCATAGGTTGGTCTTAAAGAACCACCTTGCTGGCCATATGCTTTTCAGTAGAGATAGGCAGGGTGGCTCTGGAGAGGCATGCCCTGTCCTTTATGAATGCCCTGTTCAGCTCAGTTTCCCCATCTCTACAGTGAGGTGCAGGTGACTTATGAAGTGAGTTTATGTAAGTCATGCATTGATGACAGCCACACCAGGCATGCACAACAGTCTCATGACTGCCATGCAGGTTTGACACAGGAAGAGGGAGGCACATGGCCTCCCCCCCCTCAAACAGCAGGACGAGGAAGGAGGCCCAGCCTACTATTGACTGGGGTCCTTCCCCCAAAGGGGTTCATAGACAGGTAACAGCCCAGAGCAGAAACCAAGAGGTCCCTGTATAGAAAGCAAGGACAGGGGCAGAAAGGAGGGAAGAAGGGAAGCTTCCTGGAAGCAGTGACCAGGGACCTGAGTCTCGAAAGCCCAAAAGGGAATGAGCCAGGCAAGGGAATAGAAGGAACGGGGCCCCGGAGTGGAGCCACATGGGCAGGGGCAGAGGAGAGCCATCTTTATCTCCAGGTCTCAGGCCAGAACAGAGCTCAGCCAACACTGGGGGACTTTAGTGACCTGCACTGCCTCCTGCGCCCTGCCCTGCCCTGTCCTAACCTCTGACCTGGCCTATAGCAGGCTAACAACTCAGTGTGTGCCAGGAGGAAACCTGTGACGCCCAGCAGTGCTGCAGACAGACAGACAGACAGACAGCACTCCAATTAAAGACTGAAGGACTGGGTCATGAGGGCCCAGTAGGTTGGGCCTCCTTATCCTTTCTGCTGTTTCTGGGGGCAACCGTGTGCCTCACTCACCCTCCTGTGAGGGCCCCGCAGGAGTGAGGGTGAGCCTCGCGTGGGCAAGGGAGCCTCTGAAAACAGCTTCTGCGGCTGTGCCCTGCACCCTTTCAGACACAGGTGCGCTCGCTCTCTCTCTCTCTCTCTCTCTCTCTCTCTCTCTCTCTCTCTCTCTCTCTCTCTCTGCATTGGGTAGCCCCCAAGACACTGATGTCTAATTTTGTGATTGTTGGAGAATTTGAGAATTTAACACGTGAGTATGTGTTCTGTATTCTGATGAAATCCACTCTCCTTTCCCTCTGCTTCAAGTACCCCCCCCACTTCCTAGTCCATCCTCCCCCAATTTCATTTTTGTTTGCTTGTTTTTGGGGTCTTTTGTTACTACTTTGGTTTTTTGTTGTTGTTTGGTTGGTTTATGTTTTTGGTGTTTTGTTTTGTTTTATTTTGGGACATGGTTTCTCTGTGTAACATTCCTGACTTCCTGGAACTCACTGTGTAGACCAAGATGACCTAGAACTCAGAGATCCTCCTGCCTCTACCTCCCAAGTGCTGGAATTAAAGGTGTGCACCACCACTGCCTGGGCTTTAAAAAAAAATACTGAGTCCACTTAGTGTGGCTAGTACATACATGGTGTAGGACTATCTACAGAATCATGGCTAGTCTCTCAAGAGTGGCATTGAACTGATCCTCCCTCTTCCAGAAGCCACCAATGGAAAACCTACCACCATTACTCTGCTAAAGAGTAACTTTTACCCAGGGATTGGTGAGATTCTCAACCCTACCTCATCAGAGAGGTTCTTTTTCCAGTAGACGGTGATTCACAGAGAGACCCTCAACAACATTAAGGCTTTTTAAAAAATCATATAGAATATAAAAAGGTGAATTTGCAAAGTGGAATTCCAGTGATACCTAGCTTGACAATTGTCTGCACACTGCTCTTTAGCAATCATCTTTATCTGTTTCTCTCTCCATCTGCTTATAACTGATGTCTGATGCCTTTTTATTCTGATCTGCGATCAAAAGGAAATCCATTTAGCAGGGTTTCCTATTGTGCAAACTGAGCATGCTTTAGCAAGCTGTTGGGTTTGAAGGAGAGCATGGCCACATTTTGTTTGGTTTTTCTTGCATATTAAATATATGAGTTGGATGGGTACTTAACCTGTGTGAGTTTCTGGCTGCCTACAGAAGAGTTAAGAAAGTCTACTTTGAGTTTTTTTTTTGTTTGTTTGTTTGTTTTTGTTTTTGTTTTGTTTTTTTTGTTTTTTTGTTTGTTTTTTTTTGTTTTTTTTTTTTTGATGAAACTTACACGAGAATATACTCAAACTGCTAGAAGAAGTGTTAGGCACTTAGCAACTGCATGATTTTCAAAAGCACTATATTGCACTATATAACAAAAGCACATAGTCAAATGGGGACCTTGAAGCCTAGGGCTCTGTGTGACTTCTTGGGTCCATTTCTTTCACAGACAAAGTGAAGGGGAAAATGGTGGCAAAGTGGGGCCTTGGCCTGCGTCCCACTGCACTCTGTGCCCCGACTCTGGGTCTTCCATATTGCTTAACAAGCACTCTTGATTTGGCAGGGCCCAGTCAACCAGAACAATGCCGCTTGCTCTGTACACCTGTCTCCTCTGGCTCTCCACCAGTGGCCTCATGATGGCCCATTCCATGAATAACAGCACTGATGGGAGTTCAATGAGTTCTCACCGATCCCTGGCTCCCACCAATGTTGACTTTGCCTTTGATCTGTATCATCACCTATCAGCCTTAGATCCTCACAAGAACATCTTAATCTCCCCTGTGAGTATCTCCATGGCCTTGGCCATGATATCCCTTGTCACCGTAGACTCCAAGAAGGGTCAACTTCTTCAGGATATTGGCTTCAACCTCACACAGATGAATGAAGAAGAGATCTATCAGAACTTCCAGCGGCTCAGTCATCTTCTCAGCCAGTCAAACAGCAACTTGAAGATGAACGTGGGCAGCACCATATTCCTTGACCAGAGCTTGAATCCGAGGGACTCATTCTTAGCAGACATCAAACGCTATCATGAGTCAGAGGTCTTGACCACCAATTTCAAGGACTGGGCTAAAGCCCGTGATCATATCAACAAGCATGTGGAGAGTAAGACACAGGGGGAAATTACACATGTGTTCTCAGACCAAGACAGTCCAGCTCCCCTCATCCTGGTCAACTACAATCTCCTCAAAGGTATGGTTCTCTCTTTCCCATCCTAATGAGACCCTACTCCACCTAAGATCTCCTTAGTGCCCACAAAGATATCCCACACAAAATGGCCTAGAGTTCACAGCTGGTTCTAACCATGTCCTGTGCCTAATAAATGCCAGTGTCTACCAGGTTGGAGCTAGGATATCCACAGTGCTGTTCTTGAACACTTCCTGAAAGATTTGTTAAAATTATAGATTTCAGAACTCACAAGAGACCCCTGAAACAAGGCCTCTGCAGGAAAGTCCATAATGTGGGACACGTGCCTCTCTACCAACCTAATGCCACATCTACTCTGGGTCAGTGGAGACATCTCACCCTTAAGAATCAAATCTGAACTTCTGCTATAGCACTGATTCTCAGCTGAAGGTGATGTCCCCACCTTCCCAGGGACATTAGACATGGGAACTTATTTTTATGTCACAACTAAGGATGAGATAGGATGAGCTATTGGCATCCAGTAAGTAGAGGTCAGGAAGGCTGCTGAACATGCTACTCACAATGTACACACACACACACACACACACACAGAGAGAGAGAGAGAGAGAGAGAGAGAGATAGAGAACACATACAAATACACAAACATGTAGACACACACAGCCCCCCCCCCATGGTGCCATAGTCCCTAACTATCCAGAGGGTCAACACTGAAAACCGTGGGTAAGAACCCTCTATTTTTTCTGTCTTTTTTTAGCCTTGTGTCTCACACTTTTCCCTCCACTAACATCTTAACATACAGTTCAAGTACACACACACACACACACACACACCACATACAAACATATATAGAGCATACACACAGAGCACACGCATGCACAACATATATACTCACAAACTTACTTAACACACACCCTGCACACATACACACAGAGCACATACACACACACAGAGTCTGAATATACCAAATTTCTCCCCTGCCCTTGTACATGCTTGCTTCCACAGACGCTGGTGCGATCATACTCTTGATAGTACTAGACAGGTTACTGCGGGTGGATAGTGGCTGTGTGCGGTTGTCACCTGATCGCTGTGCAAGTCAGGGAAATAGCATGGGACACGCTGCTTGGGGCTGGTTCCTGAAGGGCAGAAGAGGCTAGGGGTGGGGTGGGGGATTGCAAGCTGACAAGCTTTGACTCAGTCTAAGGAGCAACATTCTTCCTGTTTGAACTAACCAGTACTACAGCAAGCAAACAGGCTGAATGGTGACCCCACCAGCCCAGGGTGAGGGGGAACTATGAGCCAAAAGGCATCCTGTATCCTTGCTCTATACACAGGAAGCACCATGGTCTGCAATGCCCTCCTTCAAGTGGCAGAGGTCTGAGCCTCCTCCAGGAACTGGCCAGATAGTTCATGTCCCCAAAGCCAGCTCCTCCCTCTTCCCACCAGAGACTCTGAGTTCAAGGTTCGTGTACTAGAACCACCAGAACTCTCCACACCAAGGCCCACCTCAGGCCCAGAGGCTCAGGTCGAAGTCTAGTCTATGTAGGGCCCACCCTAAATTCAAGATCCATGCCTTTGCCTGTGTTTGAAAGCCGATCTCACACAGAGCAAACCTGCAGCCACCAGAGACGCAGGAGACAGGACAGGTGTCCTGCACGCCGCTACAGCTGTAGCTGCACACTTCACATGTACAACAGGCTGTAAGTCCCTAGGGATTACCATACCTTTCTGAAATCAAGCAGTTCAAGCTGGAATACTCCTGGCATGCAGGAGGCAGCTGCCCAGCTTGTTTCTACAGGAACAGTGGGTGTTCTGCGGCTTCAGAAGAGGGTATCCAAGCTTTATTTTGATCCCCAGTCTACTAACCTAACGAATGATAGCCCCCAACTCTTCCCCCTCCTTCATCTTTCCAGGCATGTGGGAGCTTCCCATAAGCCCAGAAAATACCAGGGATGGGGATTTCCACGTGAACGAGACCAGTACAGTCAGGGTGCCTATGATGTTCCAGTCAGGCGTCGTCGGTTATCTTCATGACTCAGAGATTCCCTGCCAGCTGGTACAGATAAAGTATTTGGAAAATGGAACTACCTTCTTCGTCCTTCCAGACCAGGGCCAGATGGACACTGTCATCTCTGCACTTAATAGGGACACAGTTGAGAGATGGGACAAGCTTCTGACCAAAAGGTAAGCCCTCCAGGCATCACATAGATTTCTATTGGGTGTATGTTTCCAGAAAATAAGGTGCAGAGACGTCCTTTTCTTCAAGGTAGACCCCACAAGGCCTTATTGTTCCCCAGAGGTTCTGTAACTGGAAGGTATACTTATACATCCACCTATCACAGATGTCATTCAGGGCATAGCATAAATCCAATCCCGATTTCTTGTGAATGTCACAGTCATAGCTGTCTTATACATTATGTTTTTATATAAATTCCTTAGAGGGAGCTCATCAAACACCAAGCTCCCCACTTTGCTCTTTTCTTAGCCAGCCCACTATAAAGCAAGTCTGTAGATCTTTGGGGCCTCTGCAGAGAACAGTGCTAATGGCCTTTGCATGCTAGGCAACTGACTGTAGTAAAAAGAATCATGGAGAAACAACTGTCCAGGTGCCCTGTGTGAGCATGGTGCTCTGGCTGCATTATTTTCTTAAGCAAATGTCTTTTAAGTGAGTTTCTGCTTTTCTATATGGACCCTGTGGGGTGTGTGATCTCACCTCAAGACTTGGCTCCTATTGTTAAAATTTTAATTATTTCATCTTTTGAAAATTCTGTACTAGGAATTAAACCTAGGGTCTTTGCATGCTAGACTCACCCCAAGCTGTATCCCCGGTACCTCCCTTGTAAGACAGGGTTTACTCAGGCTGGGTTTAACTCATTCTGTATGTTGAGCAAGCTTTGGCCTCCTTCTCTGGGTTCTGCAGTAGCTGAAATTACAGATTACCACGAGGCCCAGATTCATTTCTTTGTAACCATGGAAATGCCTTTAGCAACCATTCCCTACCCTCCTTGTTCACAACTTTTAATGACCAGATTGGTTTTTGTTTTTTTTGGTTTTTGGGTTTTTTTTGTTTGTTTGTTTTTGTTTTTGTTTTTCAGACCTTTCCACTCTGCTTATTTTTGTTCTCAATTCTCACTATAAATCTGGTCAAGAGAAGTCAGCAGAACCCATGGCACAACCACTGGGTTGCCTTGAAGTCACCTATGCTTTATGAATTTATTCATCACATTTAAATCCACGCTCTGTGCAGGTCTCAAGGCACAGGCAAAGTGTAGTGTGAACTTCCTGTTGCTCAGTTCCTTACCCGGCTCTTGTTCCCGCTTGAAACTTCACGAGCAGTCTTCGGTAGCTCCGTAGGACCATCAGCATTGTGATCTCCTGAGCTCCCTCCCTAACCACATGTTAGGCTCCTTTGTACAGAACGCTAGGGCTTCTCTAGCCATACCTCTGAGCTCTTCCAAATTCCACAGCTGACTCTCAAGAGTTCTGAACCACATTGTCAGGCATTCACAGAAAATTACCCTACTCCTGACAGCTTTTGTTTGTGTTAGTTCATTCTTCGTTGCTGTCATGAGTACCTGAGAGAAACATTTAAAGATGTACTTTTGTCCATAGTTTCAGGGGTTTCAGTCCATAGTAAGCTGACTCTGTTGCTTCTGGGCCCGTCTGTGGTGAAGCAGAGCACTGGCTTCCTTCTGTCCCTTTTGTGCATCAGGATACCCAACCCACATTCAGGATGGCTCCTCCCTCTGCGACTAAACGTGTCTGGAAACACCCTCACAGATACACCCAAAAGTGTGTCTCCAGGTGATTCTAAAATCTGATCAACAGTGAAGATTAATCATCACAAGTCTACCCCCTGACAACTCACTACTTAAAACACATCACTTTAGAATTATTACATCCCACTTTTGGCCCCGGATGCATGGCCATCTCACAGTGCAAAATGAATTTACTTCTTTACAAATCAAATGGGCTTAACAATATTGACACTGTCCAAAAGTCAAAAGTTTCCTTTGAGACTCAAGGCAACATCTTGACCGTAAGACCTTGTTAAACAAGAAACCAGTTTAAACACTTCATACAACATCACAGAATAAAATTTCCACTTATAAAAGGGTAGATTGGGAGAGGGGAGACAGACCAACACAAGACTGAAATCCAAAAGGAAAAAAGCAGTGTCTAACATCTTTACTTGATGGCCTCACCCAGGCTCCAGCAGCTCTGGGTAGCCACATTTCTACACTTTTGCTGCCTGTGACTGATGTTGTCTCTCTCCTGGGCTGACTCCACACTCCATGCCTGCAATTTTCTTTGTCAGTCACCTGAAGTTCCTGTCATAGCCAACATCCTGGGGTCTCCACTGCAACTTAGGCTCCACTTTCATATAGCCTGCTCAGGAACTCTGCATAGGAAACCTACACTACACATTGTTTGGCTTCAGAGACTTCCTGGGAACTTGGTATCAGCTTCTGTGACTCCCTCCTGACTTTTGCATCTTTCATGCCTACCAAAATTTGAGATGTCACCCCTGGGATCACAATGCAGTGGCTTCTGTAAGCTTTTGTGTTTTACACTCTGAAGATACTTTCCTAGGCAGGTACCTTGGAGGCTCTATTGTTTCAGGTGCTATCCTTTCAAATGAGTCTTTGGAGCTCTTGATGAGTAATGAGGACTTGCAACCAAGGCTCTTTTCTAATTTTCCCAGTGCAAAATCCCTGGTTTTCCACTAACAATGTTAATCTCTTTATCTAAGCCCATCCTATCATCAATTTCAAACAGGATTAGGTTCATTTCCTCACCAAACTACACATTCTCCAAACCATTCTGCCCTAATTTTCTGAAGTCTCTTCCTGTAAATCTGGGTAAATTTAGTAATAACGGTACCACAACTTGGATGATGTTTTCTTGAAATTTTCCCCGCAAAACACTACATCTGAGTTCATCTTCATTCAAGCTTTTGGAAGATGGACAGAACACAGCCACACTTTTTATATAATGTAAAGTAATGGCCTGAATTCTGATTCCCAATAGAGTCTTCCTTTCAAGATGAAATCTTGCAGACCAGGACTTTCTGCCTGCATTTCTGTTAGCAATCTGGCTCCCACACTCTTACCAGATTTTGCTATCAAAATCTAGGGTTTATCTAGACCACAGATCCAAGCTCTATTAAAGCCCTCACAGAAACCATGTCTAAAGGTCTACAAATCACTTAGTCATAGAAACAACCCCACTTCTGGTACCACTTGTGTATTAGTTTTCCCATTGCTGTGACAAACACTCAACAGAAGCAACATAATAGGAGACAGTTTTATTTGGGGCCCTGGATTAAGAGAGGATACAGTCAGACCATTGTGATGGAAAGGTGGAATGTCAGGAAAGGGAGATAGCTGGCCATATTGTATCCACACTCAAGAAACAGTAAGACAAATGCTGTGCTCATAGGGTTTGTCTGCTCCTTCCCTCCCTCCCCCCATTTTCATGTGAACTTCCTCTTTCTCAGTTCCTCATCCAGTTCATGTTCCCACTTGAAATTTCATGAGCTGTCTTTATTATCCACGTAGGACCATTAGCATTCTTATCTTTTGAGCTCCCTCCCTAACCACATGTTAGGCTCCTTTTTTACAGAACTCTAGGTGCTTCTATAGCCATCCCTCCAACCTTTTCCAAGTTCTTCAAGCCAGTTCTCAAGGCTTGTAGGGTAGTCACATAAAATGTTTATTATTTATAAAAAGAAGATGTATTAGATTGGCTTATACACCACTAAAGTCTAGATAGTCCAACAATGGAAGTCTTGCCCTGGATGAGAAAAACAAAACACCAGAAGCTTCTCAGTCCTTGAGGCTAAATGACTCAGAAGTCCAAATCTGATGCTGAAGACCCAGAAGACTCCTGAAGAGTAGTTGATATTCATTCCATAGTATAAGTCCGAAAAGCTGGATTCTGATGGCAACAAGAGATAGGAGAAGCAGCTGGTAGTGCCAGCAACAGAGTAGTTGAAAGGTCAGATGAACTTGCCAGCAAGACACGAAAACAAGCAGCGGCTTCTTCCTTCAATATCCCTTTTTCTGGTCTCATAATATCATAACTGAGGTCATTTAGTATGGGTCCTCCCTCTCTTGCTAAGCCTTTCTAGAAATGCTTTCATAGATATGTCTGAAAGTGTGCCTCCTAGGTAATTCTAAAATCCAGTTATTCGAAAATGAAGATCAACCGTCAGAAGCCTTAACAGTACATAGCTGAACCAGCTGTGATAGGGATATCAGCAGAGGGGACAGAACTTGGCTATTGAGACAGAATCATTTGTATATCTTGGCCAGGACTACTGCTTCCAGCCAGGAATTATCTCCACTATTCTTCTATCATCTTCCAGGACCAAAAGAACTAATCAGTGGACCAGATACATCACACATATATCAGCTCAAAGGAATCATCAAGAAAAAAAATGACTTTAGGTAACTCACAGAGCCAGAGAAGAAGCCTTACATATGAGGAAGAGATAGTTTCTGCCTTTTGCTCTGCCCTTCATCCCTAGTGAGTGAGTTAGGCTGGTGATACAAGTGCTGAAGAGATCACACAAAGAAGCGCGCTTCTGTCTGGGAAAGGATTGCTGCTGTCTATTGCCAGGTCTAGCCTTGGACCTTCTAACGTCTTCTGCTTCATCCTGAACAGGCAAATGAACCTGTACATCCCCAGAGTCTCCATGTCTGGTACCTACAACCTTGAAGATGTGCTGGTGGGCATGGGCACTACAAGCTTTTTCACCAACCAATCAGGTTTCTCAGATGCCACCCAGGATTCTCCACAGAAGGCATCAAAGGTGAGTAAGTGTCTTGGGAGTTTTCCCTCCAAAATGTACACCTAAAAAAAGAGTAAGCAACACAGCCCATTTGTGAATGCTCCCCTGGACCCCAAGCAAAACAATCCCAGGACCAAGCCCTTCAAACACCATTCAGTAAACAGAAGCTCAGCAAGAAAACAAGGGCACAGAAAGCTCGTGACAACGGAGTGTTGCAGCACTACCTGCCCCCCTAAGCCTCACAGAGAGGGGACGCCAGTAAACAAAGTTGTCATGGGGGAAATGAAGGCAGCCCCTGGCAGAAAGAAAGAGAAGACACAGTAAAGTTCTCATTAACAACACCCTGAGCCTTCCACTCAGTTCCATGTGTGGCCTCCAGCTTGATGTTCTCAATTCATAAATTCATTCAGAACATTTTGACCAAACACCTACTATGTGCCCAAGCCTGTGCTGGGATCTGGATATGTTTCCATTACTCAGATGTGGACACGGTCCTCAAAACACAAGGACTTTGGGTGCATGGAAGTCTTACTTGGTGAGATGTGAATGGAGTAAATGTGCCCTGTGGATGAGTAAGGTCACTGAGGAGGCTAAGCCACACCGAAGCCTCCCTTTACCTGCTTGATTGTTTGGAAAACTAAAAAGGACTTTTTTCCCCACTATGGCTGTACTAGAAGCACTGAAGGATTGAATGGTCTAAGGCTGCAAAGCACACTGACCACTGACTGGAGCCTTGGGTTTATATAGCAGACATAGACAAAATCCCAACTGCTCGGGGCTATCCTTAACCCAGGAAGGGCAAAGAGCTTGACACAGTCACAGAGCTAGCAAAATCAAACAGCAACAGCAAAATCAATTGAACACTTGACCTTGTGTCTGTCTACACAAGACCTCAAGTCCTCAAGACCCACTGCGGAGCTCCCAACCACAGCTCAGCCTCTGCCTGGCTACAAGAGCCTAACACAGGGATGCTCAGAGACCACAGACTTGCTGAGAAGTGGAGATGATGAGTCCCAAAACACGCCACTACCACCAAGGGATGTTGGGAATACATTGACTGTCACTATTGTTTAGTTGTCAGGGTAGGACCTGTCAACCATTTAGCTGTCCTCAGAACTCCATCTAATTTTCATCATTAAAAGGAACACACCCAGCAAAGGATTTGCATTTTTGCTTCAGCCTGGGCTTTCCTAGCCAGAGTAGACACAAGCACTTCGTACAAGTTCAACTCTGCTGTTTCCACAGCAAAGTGGGCAGAGTAAGGTGTCTTGAAGCCTAGGATCTGGTAAGTAGAGCCCAAGACAGAGCATGAGACCCATTTCCTCTAGCTTCTGTGTGGTGCATGCATCCTGCTTTTCCAGCCGGGAGGAAGCTATGTGCAGCGTCCGGTCTGGAGTTGCTGCTTAGACATGGCGTAAACACGTGATGCTTTGGGAATCTTGGCTGCTTCGCCTTCTGTGAATCAGAGGGTGAGATGTCCTTGTGATGAGGTGTGGACAGTTCCTGCCTCACGATGGCCTCATTTCCTGTCTCTGGTGTGTTTCTCACAGATAGTACACAAGGCCGTGCTGCAATTGGATGAGACGGATGAACCGCCTGTTGCCACCGCAGGAGCTCCACAACAGCCAACGTCTGAACCGCTCGCCCTCACCTTCGACAGGCCCTTCATCGTCATGATATTTGACAACTTCACGTGGAGCAGCCTGTTGTTAGGCAAAATCATGAATCCCGCTTAGTGCATGCCAGAGAAGCCATGGTAGTACCTGACTTTGCGGGGGTAGAAGCCTTTCCCTGGTCTTTTCCAGGTTCCCCCAACCCAACCAGGTATCCCTACTTTTAGATATCTTGTAATGCATAACTGTTGTTACTGCTCCCAAGACAGTCACTGAGATATATCAAACAGTTATTAAAGGGTGTTTTTGCAAACTCTGGGCTCCCTTGTTGATTTACACCTAGGTGGTGCCTTCTTGCTGTCCTCACATGGAGGGAGGAGCAGAGTGGAGAGAACTCTCTAGAGTCTTTCATAAGGGTACTAATCCTGTTCGTGAGGGCTCCACCCTTATGACCTCATCACCTCCTGGAAGCCCTCATAGTCTTCTAATCCTTGGTTTCCAGATGAATCTGTAAGACATTCATTCCACGACATGTAGTCCTGCCCCAAGAGGGGTGCTGGGAACAAGAGCACAGGGCATCTTGGATTAGTCATGTGCACTGGGAGATGTGTGGCTTCAAAGGGAGACTGGCCTGAGACGGAAGCCCAGCTGGGTCACAGAGTGCTCCTAAGCTGAAACTACAATGATGTGGGTTTCTTTACAAGGTTGCAGGTAGAGGGGCCGGCAACTTCTGGGTGCACACTGGAAGGCCTGGCAGACAAAGCCTGTCATGGGTGAGTGAGTGGCACAGAGTTATCAGAGGAGAATGGAGCAGATAGGAGAGGTCAGTTCCGACATCTGTTAGTCCTCTGTTCTTACCACACATTCGATACTGATGTAGAACCCGAGGTTTGAGTTAGCCACACTGACACAGTTCCCCTCCTGAGTCTACCCGTGTCAGCCGTGGGCAGAACACCGTTTCTGTTCCTCCGTGACTATGGTTTGGGTTTAGTTTTTTTTTTGTTGTTTTTTTTTTTTCTTTTTCCTTTGGCAAGTCAAAGACTAATCAAACCAAGCTGGTAAATGTCCTTTGTCTTAATTCCACCTATCCTTAAATACCCTATATGTGAAATGTGGTTTCAGAATAAGCAGTCCTCCATTAATGGGTATTTAGCAGAAATCAACGTGCCATCTGAAATACATTGGTTGGGAAAATTCTATTAAGCCCTTTGGGGGGCATTTTCTTTCAAACCACTGCAGATGGATAAAAAATATAAAAGTTGATTTCTCCACTGAGTCACTTATTATTTTTAAAAGACCGGGAGGAGCTTGGACTGGGCCTGGGACAAAGGTGGCTGATTGAATATTCTTTTCTTACGTATCTTCCCAGAATACTATAAAATCAATAGTATACAGATAAAACTCCCAGGATTCAGTCTTCCACTTAGCATTATCATCTGAAATCTGAGTCCCAGGGGAGGGTGGGTGTAGGAGAGGGAAACACTTGGAAAAATATGCTCGCGTCACTGGGAAGTGGGATAGGTTGGCTCTGGTGGAAACATTCACTGGAGGTGTGTCATTGGGTGCCACGCCCTTCTTGGCTGCTTCCTCTATTGTTTCTGTTTCCTGTCCACCCTAAGGCAAGCAGCTTCCCTTCACATATTCTGACCACCATTGCATTCCACACCACTACAGCTCCCTTCCGAGTGGGTCCAACGGCCATGGTTCTGAGTAAAATAAACCTCCCTCAAGCTGCTTGTGTCAGGCATTGCTTGCAGCATGAGAAGGGCTAAGAAGAAATGGCTGGGGTTCTACATGTGTTTTCTTTTGTTTAATCTTGGTCAAAACTTGATGAGAACTGTAAGTGCACAGGCCCAACACATCAAACACATCCACACGAGAACCACAGAGAACCTCGGGCAAGGGACAACGTGACCAAGCATCAAGAGAAAACTCTTTAAATCGGCCGAAAGAAAAAATAGACACAGTACACAAAGGACAAGGGTGAAGATGGAGCTGGATTTCTCACCTGGAGTTGTGTCAGTTGGCCGATGTGTTGACGTGAGAAGCACACTCTACCTCTGCGCCTTTCCTACCCACACCACACAACATGAAGATAACAGGAAGAAGAGCTTCAGACAAGCTGAAATGAAACACCTGTACAGTGTCTAGGCAGAATCCTTCCAACAGGCCTGGAGAGGAAAGAACCAAGCCCGTATTGCCTAGGCAGAAGGGCAACAGAGGGACGTGAAAGCCAGCTTTGGTGGGAGCTCTGGGAGTGGACGCTAAGCCAGAAAAGACGGGGCAACTGAAAGATTTGAATGTGTAAATATTATCAACACAATACAATATCCCTGTCGACTTTATATGGTGGTTATGTACCATAATTAAAAGACAGTCTATATAAACCCATTATGATTTTTGGTAAGTTCGAGTATGTTATGAATAGAAAGCTAAAAACCATAAGTAGTGAAAACTATAACATAAAGATGTCTTTAAAGGTCTGGGAGTGAAGGAGGGAGGTGATAACATTTTTCAGTAAGAAGAGAAGGACCCTTCAGAAATGAAGATGAAGGGGCCAGAGAGATGACTCAGTGGTTAAAAGCACTGGCTGCTCTTCTAGGGGACCCAGGTTTGACTCCCACCACCAACCTGTGAGCTCACAACTGTTATCTCCAGTTCCAGGAGGTAAAACGCCCTCTTCTGGACTCTGTGGGTACTGCAAGTCATGCAGGCGAAACAGCCATACACACAAAGTAAAAATAAACACATAAATGACAGCAAAAACTTTAGAAGACCAAAGATGAAACATACTATACTTATTAAATAAGTGTTTAAGTTGTTATTTAGTAAGAAAGATGATTCCTGGTGGAAATTTGGACCTACATGAAGGAATGAAAAGCATCAGAAAAGTAAATATGTGGGCAAAAGTGGAAAATATTTCAAAGATATCTTCAAACTCTAAATTATTTTAACAGAAATAATAACAACACAATTTGGCATGCATGTTATCAATGTATTACTCATCAGGTTAAGTCCTTCCATCATCTAAGTCTGGATCCTTTTAATGTTTCTGCTTCCCACATTGGGCACAGCATCAGACTTTGTCAGTAGAGGGCACCAGAGAGACACTTGGGAATGAAGCAGCTTCGCTTTCCTGCCTGACTCCCACCAGATCATTCGAACATAAATAGATACAAACAGACAGACAAGCATGACAGACAACAGATAGGGGCTTAGAATATAGTTAGAAGGATGGATACGTGACAAATGGATGAAGACAGATGATGGAAATACACACCCTGGAAAATATACTTTTCTAACTGTATCTCTCAAATGCACATGTAGACACACATACACGCCTGATTCTTCAAACCTGGAATTTTTCTTACATAGGGAAACATTAAATTGATTCTTACTGAAGCAAAAACTGGGATAAAAATACTTCTTATATCCGTTGCCATTTCATATGGTACTGAGATTGTTTATCAGGTGATGTAATTAATTACAGAAAGGACAGTAGAAGGGGGTGAGGGGAATAAAACTGTCTGTGTTTTTATAATGTGGCCATATTCCTGCATCACTAAAAGACAAAAGGGTATCAAAGTCTGTGTCAAAAGTACACTCGAAAACCAAAGATCACACAAGTCAATAAACAAGTTCTGCAAGAAGTCAGCTTATAATTAGCATAAAACGACACCTTTGACATGCACAAATAACTGCGAGTCACACCCTGCAAGGGAGGAGCCAAGCCAGCTGAACCCAGAAGATGCAACACACACAGGAATGAATGTAACACTGCCCCAAACACAGGCTCCTTTAAACGTGCTCCTTTAAAATGCAAGACCAGATGTGAACAAATTAGATGTGGAAACTTATTCCTTCCTGAGGAAGACTGCTCAAACTCATCCACATACTGTTTTCTCTAATATAATGAATTAATTTACTGGGGTTCCAGTAAAGACACCAACAATTTTTTTTTCTCATAGATAGACAACATGACATCAAAATCCATTTACAAAATGTCCAAGAATTCCAGGATAAGAAGAAGATTCTGTGGCCTCAGGAGGAGGCAGGGAGGCCACTGTGATGGGGGAAAGCAGAGGACACAGTCTCCTTAGTTGTAATGCTGGTACTGGCACATGAACACACACATAGGCAGATGGACAAGGAAGACCTTCCAAAATGAGACAGGGATGGTCAGCCAAAACAACGTATGTGTGAAAAAAACAAACAAACAAAAGGAAACATGCTATTTGCAAGATAATTTAAAAAATAATTTTTAAAATTTGGATAATAATACCTAGCTCACTGATTTACTGTGATTAAAATAAAGCATAATTAAAGGTGATTGATAATTAAAGGGCAACAAAAGAAAGTCTGGAAATGACCCAAGCACAAATGACAATCATATTTGATGAAGAATGACTTTTAGGGGCTGGAGAGATGGCTTAGTGGTTAAGCGCACTGGCTTTTCTTCCAGAGGTTCTGAGTTCATTTCCCAGCAATCACATGGGGGCTCAAACCATCTATAATAGGATCTGATGCCCTCTTCTGGCATGCAGATGGAGCACCCAGTTACACATAAATAAATAAATATTTTTAAAATGAATGACTTTTAAATAAATGACATTGGACAACTGGGTGGCCATTTGAATCAGGGAAAGACAGAATTCGAGCTATTTGAATGTTGACTGTCTTACATTCAACATGTGAGACATTACATACAGGAATGAAAAGGATCAAAGCTCTAAATGAAAAAAGAAATGAAAAGGAAAATGTCCCCATCCCTTCATTTGTTCCAATATGATCCCTAGCTGGCGGTGCGTTATGGGGAGGTTAGGAAACCTGTTGAAATTACAGGGTAAAGTTCACAGGTGTAAACTGAGAGGTATGCCTTTAAAGAAGGTTGTAGCCCTGCCTTACTTTGATGGGAGATGTCATTCTGTAAATATTTTTATCTTATTGGTTAATGAATAAAGCCCTGTTTGCCAATAGGAAAGCAAGGTAAGGGAGACTAGGAGACAAGGAGGATTCTGGGGGATGTAGTAGAGAGGAGTCAAGATGTAGGACCAAGAGGAGTAAGCAGTCCAGACCCTCTCTCTGGTAAGATAAGACAATGTGGAACCACTTAGATTGATAGAAATGAGTTAATATTTAAGACAGAGCTAGCCAATAAGAAGCACTAGTAACAGGCCAACAGTTTCATAACTAATACAGTGTCTCTGTGTGTTATTTTGGGGGTGGGGGTGGCGCACACTTTTAATCCCAGCACTCAGGAGGTAGAGGCAAGCAAATCTCTGTGATTTCAAAGCAAA